CATTCACTACTTTTACAAAAACTAAAAGCATTTGGTATTTCTGATTCTCTATTGCAATGGTTTTCAAACTATCTAACAAATAGAACTCAATCTGTTAAATATGGGAAATTGTTTCAGATAGCTTAATGGTATTATCTGGGGTCCCGCAAGGATCTCATCTTGGTCCACTGCTTTTTATATTGTTTATAAATGATCTATATCAGAATCTAAATGACATAGAATTCCTGCTTTATGCTGTCAACAATAAGCTTTTTAAAGAAATTGAATACTGTAATGATATAATCACATTACAGATTGCACTTAACATTCCTATCGATGTACTGAAAATCCTCTTGTTTTAAATCCCAATAAATGTAAATCTATTACTTTTTCATGTTTTAAAGTTCTCTTTGTTCACGTCTTAATGAATTCAGTTTCACTTGAAAAGGTACGTGTTATCAGAAATTTAGGTGTTAGTTTTGACTCAGAAACAACATTTACTCACCGAATAGATCACTCACCTAATCAGTCTAACTACTGGGCTTCATTAGGAGGACTTTTAATTAATAACTTGATCATCATACATTGAAAATGTACTTAATGTTAGTCAAACCTATTTTGATGTATTCATCAGTAGTATGGTCCCCCTCTTTTCAAACCCATGTTCAAAAATTAGAAACTGTCCAACATAGTTTTTTGAGAACTGCAGCAAATTGCTTACATTTACCTGATCCAATTATAAAACATGAGTATTTAACTATTTCACAACCTAACTGGTCTGTTAGGTATTCCCTCTCTTTCCTCGTTGAGAAAATATAATGATCTACACTTTTTAATTAAATTAGTTAAAGCAGTGATTGATTATCCACTTTTGCTTAAATAATTGAGTTTCGTGATCCCTCTGCTTCACGAATAAATGACATTTTTTAAACTTAAACTATACACTACTGCTTATACATAAAATAATCAAATTTCACAGATTTACGTTTACACTGATCTCTGAGAACCTTCCCATCCAAACTTTACAAGAGATGCGAAAAATAAGCTGTTACATTTTACCTCATATATAATTGTATAATTGGATTTGTTATTATGACATTAGCAATATCATAGTTACTTTGTTGGCTATTCCACTCATATGTTAACACAATTCACATATACAACTTTATATATTGGATGAGAATCCATAAATTAATAAATAAATAAATAAATAAATAAATAAAAAAATCAACACTTTTTCGACATCAGGGTCTAAAAACTGTTTTTCTGTCGAAAAATCAAATCTATGCGCTGCATTCCATAACTTTCTGTTACTTCGTAGCAGATATGAGAAAGTAAACATGTACAAATTCAAGTAACAAAACATTAAGCACAATGTGACATCATGCAAATCCATGATTTTTAGAAGTATTAAGTTTTACTATTTTGGCAATGGTTGGATAATAAGTAGTGGGAAACTGGTATTTCACCAGAGAGATGTGCATCAGACCACCACGTAAGTTTTATAGCTGATTAGATAGCCATAGACGCTGGGCTATGGAACACAAATTATGTCTAAGAGCAATTGTTGAAGATATTGAAGGTAGAAATCGGCTTATAAAAGACTGTATTGCACAATTTAGAACATGTATGAAATACTGCTGCGCGATAGCTGTCTGGTGCTAGTGGGTGTAAATAGCATAGATCACTGCACTCAAGAGAATTCCCTACCCCTTAGGCTCCTATTTTCGTAACCTAAATGGTCTCTGTCTTGGCTAACCAGTTCCTTGACTTTCGGGAGAACAGTGTCTTCTTAAGCGCTGAATTTCTGGCCAAGACAACCAGCTTACTTCACCACTTACAGATCTCGCAATTTCAGTATGGGATCTGCCAACTAAGTTCAATCCAATGCCCCTAAAAGAGCAGTGTTAAAAAAATTGATCTGAGGACAGGTTCAATATATCAGCACTGAATTTTGATAAACATCAACACCCAAAATAAGTCAGGTGAAGGAGCAATGCTCGGGAACCAAGAAGGCCTTCATTAGGACATGAACAATTCGTTAATTTATTCAGATAGATAATAAAGTTATATTTTAGGAGGTGGCGATGTACATTTTCAGCTAAAGCACGAGATCCCGCACTGACGTGCAGGACGGTTGGCATGAGGTTCCTTCATGGTATTTCTGCCAAAGTGGCACTGCCCCAGATGGGAGAAGCTCTGAGCCCCTGACGTATGTGGTAGCGTAGTGCACGCGTGTGTGTGCGACTGCGCGCGTGTGTGTGCGACTGCGCGCGTGTGTGTGTGTGTGCGCGCGCGCGACTGCGCGCGTGTGTGCGCGACTGCGCACGTGTGTGCGCGACTGCGCGCGTGTGTGTGCGCGACTGCGCGTGTGCGTGCGCGACTGCGCGCGTGTGCGTGTGCGAATGCGCGCGCGTGTGTGTGTGCGCGACTGAGCGCGCGTGAGTGTGAGTGCGACTGCGCGCGCGCGTGTGTGTGTGCGACTGCGCGCGCGCGTGTGTGTGTGCGACTGCGCGCGC